ATATATTTTCAGATTTTTTTTATTTTTGATTAGATAAAGCTATTGTCATAATTAATTGAATCATTAGTTTGTCAACTCACCTTTGTATTTTTATCAATACATGTTCACATTCTGTATTATTGTGTATGTTATTCTACCGTCTGTGTGTCATTTACCTGCACTTTTTGTACACTGCTTTGACAAGTGAATTTCCCTATTATGAGATAAATTAAGTCTCACATAGCAATAGCTGAAAATGAACACAAGGGGGAGCTCAAGCACTGTTTTTCTGTTAAACATTTCCCAATGTGAATATAAGCTTGTTGTTACCTTTTAGAATGAAACGTTAATTTTTTTTTTTTTACATTTTTCAGAGTGAGATTATTCTACCAGACTAAATTATTAAAGTATTATAATTTTTTTTCCACATATCTTCACCAGGAGTGCTAAAAGAAAATCTGTTCATGTCTTTATAAATAAAGCTTATTTCTGACACAGAGCTATAAAGAGGATTTAAAAAATAACTAAAAACATGTGTCCTCATATTTGACTTTAAATTTCAAATTAATTGGTTAGATAGTAGGGCCAAAGGATGATGATGTCTCTGTTAATAGGACGGGGGACAACATGCTGCTTTTTAAGATGGAGTTTAGGGTCGGTGAGCAGTGAGGATGGCTGTGTTGTCCCTCTACTTACAACAAACAACAAAGAGAGGACACACCCCTGGACTTCCTGTGATACATGAGAATACACAAACACAGGTGACAGAGAGACAGACAGAGGACACTGGCATAACAGACACAAACTAGGAGTGTGGACTCTTCCATCAGCCTTTTGGAGGACCATGTGAACTTACGATTTTAAGGGAGTTTTCTTCTTCTTAGCCGGTTTGTTTTGGTTCTGGTCCTCCAGTTCCCCAATGTTGTCATTGTCGTTTTCGTTATCATAGTCATTGGACGACGTTTCAAAAGAGGCAGGCACCCTGGGAGGCGAGGCGGCCATTTTGTTGGAGGATTTAAAAGGGTTTGTAGACTCTTCAATGTTGTTTGGGTCAAAGCTGTAAGATGGCCTGGATAAGGTGGGGGAGTTGGGCATACTTTTCTTTGAAGAAAATGGATTGAAGTTTGGGTCATCCCACTTGTCGGGTTCAATGTTGTACGACACTTTGGGAATGGGGATTTCATCCGATCCGTTGTAGGCTGCAGGGGGGGTGTTGTCCAGCTGCTCCACCTGTTGTGGAGCTGCTTTTTTCAGCCCCAGCTTTGGTTTTCTGGACAGCATCTTGCCAGGAGGCTTCTTGCCCAATTTCTTAGGTGGAGGAGAGGCCTGCTGTGGCGCCTCGCAGCTTTCCTCAGAGTAGTCAAACTCCAGCCTTACTGGTTGACGCTTGAGTAGAATGGGTTGCTCCTCGGGATTGGTGGAAAGCTCTTCCAGAGGGGCGATGGCAGTATGGTGATGTGGTTCTGCAGCAGGGATAGGGGGGCTCAGAGGAGGAATAGATGCAGGGCCATACACAGGACCCTTACGACCCAAAACAGGAGAATTGGCGATTTTGCTACCTCCAGTGCTGAAGGGGTTGATGTTCTCAAAGTTTTCTGGATCCCATTTGTATGAGGCACTGGGTGGGATTGGAGAGGCTTCTTTCTCTGTTACGCTCTCTGCAAGAGGGGCTTCCTCCTGGCACAAAGGTAAGGCAGGGACTCCTTTGCTCTCCTCTTGGCAGGTTTGATTGGTTTCCTCTAGGAGAGGAGGCGGAGTTTCAACACGGCTCTTCCTAGTTTTTCTGAGAGTGCCTCCGGGACTAGGAGTTGCAGAGCCAACCTCCGAATCCTCCTGAGTCAGGAGAGGGCTAGCTGTCCGAGGCTTCGCCCGCTTTGTGATTTCAGGGGTGCTGCTAGAGGAGGCTGGCTTTGAACTATCAGGGTTGGAGTTTTGTCTGAGGAAGGGCTTCTTCTTCACCGATCCCGGGCTGACTTTCTTAGGTCTCCGGAGCTTCCCCGGGTTGTTCTCGGTGCCAACGCTGAAGGACTCGGAGTGCTGACGGAAAGCTTCAGAGGCTGATCCTTCCAGCAGACTGGAGCTATCGAGCTCCCCCCCCTGGAGGCTGAGAGAGCGAGTCAGAGTGTGACTCGTTGGCTCTCCAGCGAAAAAGTCGAAGTTGTACGTCCCACTTGCAGCAATGGGTTTGTTCTCATCAAAAGCAATGGATGGGGACCGACAAGGTGCATCGGTTGCAGTGATGTCCAAACTAAGATCGCCTTCAGAGCCGTTAACACCTGCAAAACATTGAAATAAGATTAATCTGCATCAGAAATATCACCCTGCTATAAAGGAAAATGACTTCAAGTAACATCCACACAGAGAAACGGGGATCATTTTATTAAATCTTCTTGGTTATGTGGAAAAGATGGTTGTACGAGTAAGAAAGCATGGTTGGTCAACCTATATTAAAAAAGTATTTACATTTTGCCACATTTTAACTACAGACTTCAGACTAATTATTAAATAGTGTTCACTTCAGTTTAACATCAGTATAAACGCAGCTGTTCTATGAATGTCTCAGAAGTTTGTTAGAGAACTAACAGCATCATGAAGACAAAGGAACACATCAAACAGGTCAGGGATGATGTTGTGCAGCTGTTTTCAGCAGAATTAGGTTTTATCCCAAAGTTTGATCATGTCACAGAGCTCTCTGTTCAATTAATCCAATATATTAAAAAAATGGAAATAGTGTGGCTCAACTGTAAACCTACAAAGACGTGTCAGTCCAACTAAACCAACAGGCTAGAAGGGACAGCATTGATCAGTGAAACGGCCATTACACACTTATGAGATTTTTTAATTTATTTTAAGAAATGTGTAAGTCATTTAAAATTGATTTTCACAATCAATTTTGTGATTGAAATTGAAGTTACATAAACTTCATACCTTGAAGTTTATGTAACGACACAAAATGTGTCAAGGACCATGTAGGCATTATACACATTTTCACTATTTATAGTAACCGTGCCACATACAGGCTACTAAAAAGCATTTTTTATTTGTTATTATTATTGGTGATCATATAAAGGTTTATATAAGGCTTATATTTTATATTCTGTTTTGGGAACCACTGTACAATCTAAGAATCTGATCCAAGGAATAACATGTAAAAAGATCAATAAAAATATTGTAGATTAAGAGGGAAAGCACAAACAAAACATTAACAAAATCCTGTCATCTTTTTTTAAAAAAACTTATTTTTCTACAGTTATCTTTATTAAAAAATGAATTTTCTAGTTTAATTGTAAAGAATCCAGAAGATTTCAAGGGATTTTTAACCCATACTGTTCAGAAGTGCAGTTCAGCTTCCCATCACTAGAGGATGCAACAATCTTTTCAATAACAACAATTGAAGCAGTCGAGCTTCTATCTCAGCATCTCCTACTGTACCTTTATCATCAGATTCCAGCAGCTCTCTTTGGGGTTCAGCAGGAGAAACAGCTTTCACTGGAGTTGTAGATTCGGGAGTTTCAAAAGCACCATCAGAGTCTGAGCTCCTAAAGCAAAATATAAGTTACAGCTGACGTTAATAAGGCTGCAAAATATTCAGACACCATATCAGAAAGATTAAGTAAGAGTTTCACAAAAGGCCCATTTATTTAACCATCGATGCAAATGAATGAATTAATACATTATTTAAAAACAAAACAGAGATAACTTAATTGTTACTCAAAAGATTGAGGAAATGTTCTGGCATCAGGTCATTCGCTGCCTTTATGTGAGCACTAATATTTTAAAATAGATTCTGAACTGCACGAGAACACAGTGTACAAGTGTACCCTAATAAATGATCATATCAATGAACATAAATTTATTTCAGTAATGCAATTATAAAAACAGAAACTTAAGTAAAGGCCCACAGTGATTGTAAATCTGTGGATTATGGCTTATAGCTAATTAAAAACTAGAATATAGTTTTTCAACACAAAATATTACATAGAGCAAATAAAAAAATATTCTTACAAAGAAATGTTATGCTCTTGAGATGACTGCTGGAAATTAAACATAGGTTAATATCAACCAGTCAGTCATTAGAATGGTGGACATCGTAATGAACTGGTATGACTTAAAAGATATGGACAATTGAATATTGTCAGCATGTCAGATGTCATGCAAAGACTGAATGATAACCACTGAGTAAATAAAGTGAACATAAAAATGGACAAAGTATTGGAGCTTATAGGACTCCTCGGTGTAAAAAGCTTTAATAAAATGCAGCTTTTATGTAAAAACTCTCCTTCAATTAAAAGGAAAATTGGTCCAGACACCAGCCAGATGTTCAAGTTAATTGGGTAAAATTAACTTGAACTTGAGCAAATGCTACACCGAGGCCATGAAGACAAGCGTAGAACAATTTCCAATGCTGGAAAACAAAAAGGTTGTCATAACTTTAATCAGTCTAATGCACATGTGTCAAACTCAAGGCCCACGGGCCACATGT